GATGTCAGAAGAGACTTTAAAACTTGCTTTTGAACAGAGAGTCACTAAAGCAAATGGAAGAAATGACAAGATAAAAGAGCTGAACAGAAGATTTCAGAGTAGTGCGAGAAGACAAAGTCAATTATTATAATGAAATGTGTAAAGACCAGGAGTTAGAAAACCAAAAGGGAAGAACATGATTGGCATTTCTAAAGCTGACAGAACTGAAGAAAAAAATTCAAGCCTCAAGTTGCAATATTGAAAGATTCCATGGGCAAAATATTGAATGATGCAGGAAGCTTTTCCATGGGCAAAATATTGAATGATGCAGGAAGCTTTTCCATGGGCAAAATATTGAATGATGCAGGAAGCTTCAAAAGAATATGGAAGGAATACACAGAGTCACTGTACAAAAAATAATTGTTTGATGTTTGGCTATTTCAGGAGGTGGCATCTGAACAAGAACCAATGGTATGGGAGAAGAAGTCAACATTGCATTGAGGGAATTGGTGAAAAACAAGGCTCCAGGAATTGATGGAATACCCATCAAGATGTTTCAACAAACAGATGGCATGCTGGAGGCACTTATTCATGTATGCAAGTAATTTGGAAGACAGCTACCAGGCCAACTGACTGGAAGAGATCCATATTTGTACCAAAGAAAAGTGATCTAACAGAATGTGGAAATTATCAATCAATATCGTTAATATCACATGAAGGTAAAATTTTATTGAAGATAGTTCAAAGACAGTTGCAGCAGTATATTGACAGGGAAATTCCAGAAATGCAAGCTGGATTCAGAAAGAGGACATGGAATGAAGGATATCATTGCTGATGTCAGATGAATCTTGGCTGAATGCAAATAATATCAGAAAGATGTTTAGTTGTGTTTTATTAACTATGCAAAAGCATTCAGCTATGTGGATCATAACAAATTATGGATAACATTGAGAAGAATGGGAATTCCAGAACACAAGGGGATACTGCCAGGTTTAAAATCAGAAAGGATGTGTGTCAGGACTTTATCCTTTCACCATACTTATGCAATCTGTATGCTGGGCATATAATATGAGAAGCTGGACTATATGAAGAAAAACATGGCATCAGGATTAGAGGAAGACTCATTAACAATCTGCAATATGCAGATGACACAACCTTGGTTGCAAGTTTGACTTGCAAGGTGAGGATGGCTTGAAGCTCCTACTGATAAGGATTTAAGGCTACAGTCTGAAGTATGGATTACACCTCAACATAAAGAAAACAAAAGTCCTCACAACTGGACCAATAAGCAGCATCATGATAAATGGAGAAAGATTGAAGTTGTCAAAGATTTCACATTACTTGGATCTATGATCAACACCAATGGAAGCAGCAGTCAAGAAACCAGACATCATATAGCACTGGGAAAATCTACTGCAAAAGACCTCTTTAAAGTGCTGAAGAGCAAAGATGTCACTTGGAAGAGTAAGGTGTGTCTGACCCAAGCCATGGTATGTTCAATCATCTTATATGCATGTGAAAGCTGGACAATAAATAAGGAAGACTGAAGAAGAGTTGATTCTTTTGAGTTGTGGTGTTGGCGAAGAATGTTGAAAGTACCATGGACTGCCAGAAGAATGAACAAATCTGCCCTGGAAGAAGTGCACCCTAAATGCTCCTTGGAAGCGAGAATGGCCAGACTTCATCTCACTTACTTTGGTCATGTTGCCAGAAGGGACCATTCCCTAGAGAAGGATATCATCATGCTTGGTAAAGTGGAGGGTCAGTGAAAAAGGCAAAGACCCTCAATGAGTTGGATTGACAGTGGCTGCAATGGTGGGCTCATGTATAGCAAGGATTGTGAGGATGGCACACAACAGGGCAGTATTTCATTCTGTTGTATGTAAGGTCTCTATGTGCTGGTAGTGGGTCAACAGCATCTAACAACAACAACATACTGGGCTAGACACTGATGATACAACTGGTTTCAAGACAAACATGGCTCTACATGCTTAATGGAGGGCAGACATTAAACAGTGAAAATGCAAGTGAAAAGACTGGTGCAAATCATCATAGAAAGGATAAGAATAGAATGAGAATGAATAACAAGGGGTCCTAGTTTTTTATATAGGAAGTAATAGGAGCTCTGGTAGTATAGTGCCAATATTATTAAGGGCTTGACCCAAGACCTTCCTGACCAGACTGTAGAAATTGGCGGTTCAAACCCACTTGGAAGGAAGGTTGGGCAATCTACTTCTGTAGTGATACTGCCTTGGAAACCCAAGGAGGGGTCGCTGTGAGTTGGGTCCGACTCAACGGCACATAACTACAACAACATGGAAGTTATGTCTCTCTTGGAAAGTAACATGTAGGCTGAGCTGAAGGTTGAGTAGGAACCAACCAGATAGAGAGAAAGGAAGCATCTTTAAGGCAGAGGGAACAGCAAGTGTTGAGGCCTTGAGGTCAAATAAACTTGATGTATTTGAGAAACAGAAAGACCAGTGTTGTTGGAATGTGTGAATGAAACGATAGTGGAAAGATGATCCCAAGTGGGGTCATGCCTTATTGCCCATTTAAAGGAATTTGGACACTATTTTAAAAAGTAATGGAAAACTACTGAAGCATTTCAAGAAATGTCAAATTAGTGTTTTCAAATATTACTTTGGCTGCTGTGTATAGAACGGACTACAAGAGTGGAAAGTGGAAATAGATAATTTGGAGCTATTGTTGATGGTGGCTTGACTCATGTAGAGGCAGTGGAAGTGGACAGCTTGGATAGAACTTTTGAGGAAGGATCAGTAAGTTCAGTAATGGGTAGAATATAGGTGCCAACAGAAACCAGCTTATAGGAAGGATTGCCAGTATTATTAAAGGCTTGACCCAAGACCTTCCTGACCAGACTGTAGAAATTGCACAGTGGAATTTATCTGTATATTCCTAAAGCTGGTGGGAAATTGCCAAGATTCTTGGTAACTTAACAGTTTCCAAAAGTCATGGACTTTTGCTACTTTCTTTTCCACTAAAAGAAGTTCAGATTATTCAAAAGTCCTGGGTAGTTCAACTTTGTAGATATGAAATAAAAATTTATGACTGGATGGATGTTGTTGTTGTTGTTGTTATGTGCTGTCGAGTTGGACCCGACAGCCACCCCTCTTTGGGTTTCCGAGGCAGCCTCTGGCTAGGCTTTGACTAGCCTCTGTAGCTGAGGCTGACGCTGAAGGAGGTGGCAGCTGGAATCTGTCTTTAGGCCTCACTCCTCACAGCTGGACAACAAATCCTTCCTAGAAGGGGAATCTAGAATGAATCTCTGTGTCTACCACAAGTGCTGTATTGCTTAATGGAAGTAGTGAATAATTTGGCACCTTGCTTTAGTTTTTAATTTATGTGGTTTCTTTTCTCCCAAGAACTCAACATAAAACATACACAACTTTGTTATCACAGAATATTTAAGAGTCACTGAGGCAATGCAGTGGAGGATAATTAAGAGAGAAGAGACTAGAGGGAGAGACCAAGAACAGGAAAAAGCACAGAAGAGAAAAATAACAGAGGGACGTTTCTAGGAGCAAAGAAAAGAAGCATTTTAATAAAATACAATAAATTATGCCACGCAGTTCTAAGCTTAACAATACCCCAATTAACACATTTAAAAGTCTTTTAAAAATAATATTGTAACATTTTGGCTCTTTCTTGTTTTCTCGACAGATGTAGAAAACATGAAGAAAAGAGACCAACCATTCATAACAATTCAGAGAAATGATATCTCAGGTATTGTTTCTGCTTCCAACTCAGTTTTATGATTTATAGTGGATTATGCATTTTTTATATTATATGAAATTGGAATGTTAATTTTCAAAATTTTAATAGTAGCAAGCTCACTTTCTGGTCACATGGAAGATTTTTGCCAGTTCCTGGACATGGATGAATCTTAAAACATACTGAATGAAATTAACCAGTTACAAAAAGACACATATTACATGAAATAGGCAAATGTATAGAGCTTGAGCCTGTTGAGTTGATTCCAACTCATAGAGACCCTACAGGACAGAGTAGAACTGCCCCATAGGTCTTCCAAGGCCAACATCTTTACAAGAGGAGACTGCCACATCTTCATGCCATGTAACGATTGGTGGGTACAAACCACCAACCTTTTGGTTAGCCAAGAGCTTAACCACAACACTTCCAAGGCTCCTAATGTGTGGAGACCAAAGCATATTAGTGGTTACCAGGAGTGGGAGGGAGGGGAAAATATGAGTCATTGCTTGGGGGCACTGAATTTCAGTTAATGGTGGCGGAGTAATTTGGAAAACAATAGTGATAATGATTGCACAACATGATGAATGTAATTCAATGTTACTGAATTATGCACATAAAAAGTGTTCAGTTGGAACATTTTTGTTACATATGAACCACATGAAAAAGAAGATGACATCAGGATTGGTGGAAGACTCATTAATAACCTGTGATATGCAGGTAACACAGTGTTGCTTGCTGAAATCAGAGGACTTGAATCACTTACTGATGAAGATCAAAGACTACAGCCTTCAATATGAATTACACCTCAACATAAAGAAAACAAAAATCCTCACAACTGGACTAATAAGCAACATCATGATAAACAGAGAAAATATTGAAGTTGTCAGTAATTTCATTTTACTTGGATCCATAATCAGTGCCATGGAGGCAGCAGTCAATGGCAAGATTTACTCTGGCAAATCTGCTGCAAAAGGCCTCTTTAAAGTGTTAAAGAGCAAAGATGTCACTTTGAAGACTAAGGTGTATCTGATCCAAGCCATAGTATTTTCAGTAGCCTCATATACATGCAAAAGCTGGGTAATGAATAACGAAGAGTGAGGAAGAATTGATTCCTTTGAATTATGGTGTTGGTGAGGAATATTGAATATACCCTAGACTACTAGAAGTACAAACAAATCTGTCTTGAAAGAAGTACAGCCAGAATGCTCCTTAGATGGGAGAATGGTGAGACTTTGTCTTACGTGCTCTGGACATGTTACCAGGAAGAGCGATCCCTGTAGAGAGACATCATGCCTGGTAAAGTAGAGAATCAGTGAAAAAGAGGATGACTATCAGCAAGATGTAGTGACACAGTGGCTCCACCAATGGGCTCAAGCACAGCAACATTTGTGAGGATGGCGTCGGACAAGGCAGTTCTTCACTCTTTGTACATAGGGTCACTATGAGTTGGGACCAACTCAGCAGCACTTAACATAACAACAACAACATATATTTAACTCAATTTAAAAAATCTATTTACTTAATCTGATTCATAATAATGTGATACTTAAATATTTACAGTTTGTATCTAATACATTTTGCATAAAAATGATGGCTCCACAGTGGGCATACTTTAAAGTCTCTTGCCCTTATGGTTTTCTTAAATTCTCAATATACTTATTTAAATGAAAGTGTGTCTGTGCCCTTTTAGAAGTACGTTTGTGCAAAGAATATAGTGCTAATGTCATATTTTCAAAGTTTCTAGAGATAGAGGTTAAAATATGAATGTTGTAATATATTATTTCTTAGGTTTATTTACAAATCTGAGGTGAACATGTTGCTATAATTGTATTTGATGATAATCTAATAAATACTACTTTTTAAAAAATATATTTTTCTTTTTTTCATGAAAAATAGGTAATCTGGTATTCCATGTGAAAAATGGGGTAAGAAGCATCAAGTATAAACCAGTAGACTATCAACAATTACATGCATTAACTGAAGCCAAAAAATTAGCTTCTGCTTCTATACAACTAAAGGTAAGAGATTGTGTTTTTTCTACTTGAAAAATGGAATTGTTGGGAAGTGTAATAATATTTACACTGCAAATGTAAAAATAAATGACATTGTAAATAGTTATTAGACTCTTCCAATGATTAATAGTAGCGAACAGCAGCTAACATTTATTGAAGGCCCTGTGCTATATACTTTACATGCTTTTTTCATTCAATATTCGTAACAACCCTATGAAGTCTAACTTCAACTTTATATTTGGAAATATAGACATTTCATTGGCTTTCAACAGTTTCAAACTCAATCTGAAAAATAAAAGTTATTAGTGAGTGCCAGCCTTGGATTATCTACCTGATCTAAGGCTCTTTCACGAACAATGTACAAATACGGGTTCAGAAGCCTTCCTTTTCCAGAATATCTTTTTTTTTTTTTTGGCCTAAATATGCCTGAGCCAAGAGAATGTGAACCTGGACTACATGTGGAAGGGGTTTTTGTGAAGTAATTGTGCACCGAATTTTTGGGTCATACATGGTTTAGGAGCCCTGTTGGCACAGTGTTTAAGCACTCAGCTGCTAGCCAAAAGGCTGGAAGTTTGAACCACCAACAGCTCCACAGAAGAAAAATTGACAGTCTGTTCCTGTAAAGATTTACCATCTTGAAAACCCTATGGGGCTGTTCTGCTCTGTCGCTAAGAATCGGAATTGACTCTATGGCAACAGGTTTGGTTTGGTTTTATGGTTCAGGATTATTCACTCAGCGTGTTTCCCTCTTATGCAGATAATAGAGTTCGTTATAAACAGCATTTTCACTGCTTGTTTGTATTAAAAAACTGGTTTGATGAAGCAACATATGAACTAATTTGTAGTTTTAATTTCTATTTAAAAATTTCAAGTTACATTAGTTTTGTGTAGCTTTTTATTTTTAATATCTTTAGAGGAATTTTTTTAAGGAAACATAATTCCAAAACGAGCTCTGGTGGTGCACTCCGCTGCTAACCAAAAGGTTGGTGGTTTGAACCCACCAGCTGCTTCCATGGGAGAAAGATAAGGCAGTCTGCTGTGAAGATTTACAGCCTTGGAAACCTTGTAGGGCAGTTCTACTCTGTCCCATATGGTTACTGTGAATTGGAATTGACTCGATGACAGTGAGTGGGTTATGATTTCAAAGCACATTTGCTACCTTATTCTGGATAAATTACCTTATATATATGAGATATATTTCCTGAAACTAAAGAAATTACTTAAAAACTAGCATATAACTTCTTTGGTTCAGATATTACTTTAAGATAATTTAATGTAATGAGGACATTCAAAGAAATTTTATGGGAAAAATCATATATTTTTATGATTATATCACTCTCTTCCTAGTAAAACTGTTTTGATATGTCTGACTTATTCTGATCTATTGTGTATATACACATATGTAAACATATTTATATGAATAAACATACCAATATTATTTTATTCCATGTATAAAATCCTGTACATTTCTCCCCCTAATAATTTATCACATAATCTTTAAATTAAACATCTGTGATATTTAATTAATTCAGTCAAAATATATGTGATGTGCCTATTATGTACCCCAAAGATACAGTGGTATCCAAAATATAGTACCTCCCCTCATGGGATGTACCACTACTATATTTTGGGAGGAGTAGGTGTTTATAAAATAAGCCCACATATAAAATTACATTATATATGAGCTTCAGTAAGGACCATGCTTTCTGATAGTGTATGATAAGAAGGCTTTATTCTGATTGGGAAGTTAGGAAAAGATTTTCTAAGGAAGCAACATTGAAATTGGGATCTCAAGACTAATAATAAGAATTAACTCAGCAAAAAGAGAAGTGATGAGTACTCCAAATGGAAGAAGATGAATACATTATCACACACTAATGTTTGGATTGTTGTTGTTGTTATGTGCCATCGAGTCAGCCCCGACTCATAGCGACCCCTCCTTGGGTTTCTGAGGCAGTATCACTACGGAAGTAGGATTGCC